CCCGCCGGTCGTAAAACAGCTGCGGAATGTCGTTGTAACGCATAGTAAATATAGCGTATTTGTAGCGGTTTTAGAACCGCTGCAAAGAAAATTGTGGTAGTTAAAACCACCGCGATAGCTCAAAATTTGTGATGCGATTACCTTATTTTTTGGTAGTGTATATACTTCAAAACTCCTTTAATTCTATTATAATTGTAAAATTTATATATCATTCATGATTAATGCCATATTATCAAGTAATGAAGAAACACATCCTTAATAATACTTAATTCTTAACAATGAAATTATTTTAACTAAGATTTTATTTGAGACAAGTTTCTTACTGCTTTCTAAAATAACTTTTTATTACAAAAATTTCTAGCTCAAAAAATTTTTTGTAATAAAAAACTGCTTTAGAAAACAGTATGAAAGTCGTCCCAAACAAAATCTAAATCATGCATTATAATTTATCCCATTTAAAAAATTTAATAAAAATTTCTTCTTTTATGTGTTACTCTTAGTTTATTTATATGTGTAAGATATTCATAAAATCCTAAGCCATTATTTCATTTTTGTCAATTACAGGCTTAAAAAAAAGGCAAAATCAATTGAATTTATGATTATTATAAAGAAGATAATGTGATGTTAGATTGATAGATTAAATTAGTAGTAAATGATTATGAAACATAATAAATAAACATAAATCTTATATGGTTAGTAGTTGTTCACCCAATCCAAGTAATTATAATTAGACTAATAATGATGATATCATAGATCAAATTTGAACTCATTATTTATATGAAAATAAAAAAAAAATTAATATTATATATATATATATATATATATATGACTTAATTTCAATAATTAGTTTGATATAGCTGTCCATTATTATTTTTTAAATAATGTCTTATGTATTTTTTAATTTTTTATATTAATTATTTATGAAAAAAAAATTATCCACCCTCAAAACAAGAAGGTTGGTTCCACCCTTGCACTAGACTATGCTCTTCCTAACCAACTTATTATTCCATTGGGGCAGCTTATAACTGCTTCACTTTCTAAGATTTTGTTTAGGACTGTTTTTTTTTACTGTTTCTTAAAACAGCTTTAATATGTCATCAAAAAATTATCTTGATCGGACACGAATCTCAATGCAAAACCAAGTTGGAAACTTCCAAAATTAAAATTGGGACCATCTGAACTCGAATTTCAGCAAACTTATAGTCGAACTGAGCGCCTCGAGAATACGAACCCAACGACACCAAATCCAAGCCCAAACGGGTCCAAGTCAAGGGATTCAATATCGGCCGTCCATCCAATCACTACCCATTTATCCTTGATCTCTCACCTATTTACGGCCATGCCACTCCAGAAATCTATAAATATACCCCTCATTTCTCTTGAAAAGGGGATACAAGCAAGAAGAGAAGAAGAGAATAGAAGGAAGAAGAGAAGGAAGTTCCTCCTCGACCACCGCATGAGTTCCGCCGGACCACCGCCTGATGTCGTTGCTCAGCTGAACCACCACTTGAGGCCCTCATCTCCGCCGAACCACCGCCTGACGTCATTGCTCCGTTGGACCACCACTCGAGGCCCTCACCTTCGCCGGACCACCACTAGAGGCCTAGACCACCGCCTGAGGCACAGACTTCTGCCGGTCCATCACCTGAGGCCTGGACTCCCGCCGGACCACCACCTAAGCCCCGGGCTTCCATCGGACTACCACCTAACACCCGGACTTCTGCTGGACCACCACCTGAGGCCCAGACTTCTTCCGGACCACCACCTGAGGCCTGAACTTCTGTCAGGCCACCACCTGATGCCCAGAATTCTACCATAGTACCACCTTACTACAACGGTCTTTTGGATTCTTGTCTTCCGCCGACTACGGTCTTTTCGACCTCTATCGCCTACTATGGTCCTTCCGACCTCCATCACCAGACAACAGCCTTTCCGACCTCTATCCTATCAACTATGGTCGTGCCGACCAAACAAACATGTCTATATTGTAACTCCCATCATGTAATGTGCTCTATATGATGTACATTTGTACCATCAAGCCAAGACCTTCTCACAAGGAAGGGCCTTATTTTGTAATTGACTGCAAATACTAGTGGATTTATTCAAACTGGACCAGGCCCCGTGGTTTTTCCCCCGTTTAGGGGTTTCCACATAAAAACTCTGGTGTCTCTTATAAATGCTACACCCTCTCTCTTATCTTCTTGTGTGCTAGATCTTCGTATAATGCTAAGGCATTAAATCATATATTTCTCTACCGCCGCGAATATTCCAGGACGCAACAAGCTTTGTACTAAAAAATCGTTTTAAGGAGCAATAAGAAAGCTGTCACAAATAAAATGTAAGACTAATTTCATTTATACAAAGATGTTTGTCTTAGCTATTTGGGCGTTGTAGTACATGTTCAACAACACATTAACACCTAATTTTATTTTATTTTTTTTTCCCAAAAATCTATATTTATATTAATAATTTTATAATTATTTTCATAAATAATTGTAAACACCTTCAACAAATAATTTATGACATCAATGTAGTTGATAGGTAGATGGATGCCTTGAATTGAACTATTTCTGCACCTGTAGCACGTTATATTGATTTATCTCAAATGTATTTATATATCACTATGATTAAAAAACTAAAGGGGCTATTTAATCTGTTGAAAAACGTAACGTGGACATATTTAAATTTGGGTGGTTGATTTGATAAAAAAAAAAGTAATGATCAAGTCTAAAATTTTATGATCTGTTTTTAAATATTGTTATTTTCTATAAAATAGTTGTGGGAATAATAATAGCTTTTTTGAAAGCTGTTATAAATATTAATTTTGTAACGCATAATTTTTTTTTAAAACAACGAGAACTATGATTGTAGTCTAAAAAACAAAGCTCAAACATAGTTATCACAAATAGACAACTTATTTCTTTTTCTCTCCCTAGTTCATTGTTATGTATTGAAAACTAATCTAATTTAGATTGAATTCATTTTCACTACAAACTAACTGTGCTATTAATGTACGTCGTCACCACCACCTCCACTGCCCACCGCTTATGCCATCAGCCCCCAACTGGCTGCCGCCACTGACCATCATCATCGCCATCGCCACTACGAACTGCTATAGCCAATTGTCGCCCACCAGTGCAGCCGCTAGCCACTACCGTCACCGGCCATCATATCATTTAACTTTACTTTACAATCATTTTTCTTAAAATCCAAAAATAAAAAAATAAAATCTTAACTGACAAAAAGATTAATCTTCCACTAAATAATATTATCATCTGACTACAAATTATTTTATTTTATATGTCGGCAATCATCTGGCAGAAGAATACACATCCAATGATGATTCATCCCTTCCCAAACCCAATCAAAACCCTAAATTATTTTTCTTATTTTTTTATATTTTAACCAGCAATAAATATAGCATATGAAAATCTTTCGATTTTCAAATAAATATTTGCGTGCTTTATTTATAATAAAAAAAATATTATCATTCAGATTTTATGCGATGCGATCATGTGGCAACACGTGCGCATGGATGTGATGGTAGGAGCTGTGAGTCAACGTTATTAGAAACCGGAGATGTCGCACGAGTATTGGTTTAGATATAATTCAATTAGTATTATATAATAATCAAAGTTCTACGTGTTAGAACTATATCTTTGGATAACAATTGCCTGATTTGATCATTTGCATAACAATTTTGTGTTCCAAATCGGTAATATTGACCTTGAGCTCAAATCAAGGAGAAATTATTACGTCCGTGTGAATATCGAACGTAGAGTTACATCCAGACCGTAATAAAAATATGACACATTGATTACTATATTATTAGATATTACCGTGTATTGGTGAGTATTAGCTATGTATTGATGTGTATTAGTTACGTATTAAATAGTACACAGTGATACACAGCTTGTTCTGGGGGTGTTGACTCTTGACCTTGCGACCTGATCGTATATATCGAACCCTACCAAGGGGCTTTGCCCCCTTGGACCCTTGATATATTTGTGAAGCGTACGATAATCAAGCATATGAACAAATGGGTATCGCTATTGACCCATTTTCTTATAGTGAAGAGTCGAGCCAAATTCGACGCATCACCAATATTTACTAAAAAAATAGAAATGTTTAAATTGTGTCAAGCAAAGATCTAATTTAAAGTAAATGTGATATAAGAATAATTTATATTAAAAATATTTGGAAATAGATAGAAAATTTTTAAAGAATTGATATAAAATTTCAGATTATTTATAAATATATGATTAACTATATAGATTAATCTAAGTTTAAAATGAAGAAATTTATCATAAAGATTGATTAATGAGATATTCATAATTATAATTAAAAATAAAATTATAGATTAATTGGAGATCATATTAATAATAAATTAAGCATCAATTTTATGTGAATTTAGTTTTAATAAATATAATACTTTATTTATTAAACAAGAATATTATTTTTGTACATAAATCATTGACTAATAAGCTTTCAATTAATTATATTGTGCTAAAGATTAAAAAATTACAAAAAATGCCATAATTTAACTAAAATGGAGAAAGAAAATGACCATTTTAGGCTTCGATTTGCCTTTTTAACTACTCAGTCCTCCCGACACTTTTCCCAAACATCAACAATGGAGTTTCCGTTCGGCCACCACCACCAACATCACCACCGTGATGACGATGACGATGAAAGGAACCGCCTTCGTCCCCAGTTCCCTCCGGCAGTGAACTTACCTGAAGTCTTCCAACCCCCTCCAGGCATCCACCACGTCTCCCATCAACCCGGCTCGGGATTCGCCCCTCCGCCACCGTTCTTCGAACCACCGCCACCGCCATTATTCGGAGTTCAGCCGGCTCCGCCGCATCGTCCTTCTCATCATGCCGATGATCCTTCACAGGACGGACGCTACGAGACGCCGTACGGGCGGGAGGAGGGACACCACCGCCCGGGATACTCCGATGATGTGAGACATCAGGGAGATGGCGAGTATTTCAAAGGGCAGCAGACGGTGAGGGTGTTCACGAAGGCGGAGGAAAATTACTCGCTCTCGATTCGTGATGGAAAGGTTATACTCACGAGGCACGACCCCCGCGATGAGTATCAGGCAAGGGTTTCAAGATCCTCTTTGGCCCTTCCTATTAGGTTTTGTGGATCGTAGAAGCCTTGTTTGCTTTATATGATTGGCCTATTTTGTCCTACTGTAGTTTCTGACGCGATCTGGTCGTCTTCCTTGTGGATTTGCTATTTTTTCCTCCCTTTGGACGATTATCTCTCATCGTCTTTCTTTTGTCCTAGAGTTTTTTTTTTTTTTTCTTTTCCGATCAAATCGTGATTTTTTTTCCTTG